TTGATATTCATTCGTGTTCAGCGCATAAATATTTAGTAGAGAAAAGACAACTGGTAGCTGAGTGTGAGACGGGAGGGAAAGTAAAAAAATACCAAATATTCAGATCTCTAGATCTAGATCTAGATCTAAATCTTGACTCTAGATACAAATGAGGTTCATTTTAGAGGCTATTTTTAGGCACTACTTGGATATGGTGGTCCCGACTTTGTGACAGGGAAAATCTAGAATCTAGTTTTGACCCCAATGATGATTACTTCTGGTTCTAAGTCTAAACGATTACTTTTTGATTTGCGTGCCGATATGGAGAGATAGCCTTTCAAACCTTATCCTTATTGCAAAACATCAAATCGTGGTCAAATTCAGGGGGGCATGCCCCGTGAAACACCCCATGTTTTTGTTTTTTTAAGTCAGGGGGGAAACCCCCCGGGCCTTGTGAAAAACAAGTGAAATTTTACTGCTCATTTTGTAGGCTAGATTTAGATAGAATCTAGATCTAGATCTAGGCTACGAATAAAACATACAACATTGATACCGACTATTTAATCAGTATCGATATTTCAGTAGATCTAATCTAGGCCTACACAAGTATCCAAGTAGTGCCCTATTTTTATAACATTACATAATTAGCCTAGGGGCCTGTAGACTTCTAGATCTAGATCTAGATCTAGATCTAAATCTAGATGTATTTCAAAATCTGGCCATGAAGTAAATCTAGAGATTCTACTTGCATTTTTCAGACTTTTTGCAGATCACTGGTATTGTTCGAGATTCAAAGGGTGGTGGAGGAATCGCTGGAAATGATGGTTGAGTTCCTTGATCATGAGAATGTGATCTTTCATCCTCATCAGCCATTGTGACAAGTGACAGTACGTACACAGAAGGGCCTACACGCCTACACAGTTACACAGAGTATGTCTATTACATAGTACGTTGTTCACAATACACACAGTAGTAGTAGTCTAGTCATTCAATAAATTTAGTTTCGTTAAATTTCTTGTCTACTCAAATTTTTAGATGAACTTCCCGGAAAAATATGGCCAAGGCTACGGAAACAAGAGTATCCATTATTGTTTTTCATTCTCATTTTAGTTTCTACTATAAGCGTACATTTTGAACCAAAGTAGGCACGAATATTAAAAATATAGGGCCTAAACCAAGCATGCACATGTTTGGCCTAGAATCTGCCAGCTTATTAAATTTCCAGTAATGCACAATAATTTTTTGGACTTTTTATACGTATACCGGAACCGGAAACTGGAAACTTGATGTTTCCTTCCGTAAATAAACTTGGAAGACAACGTTGTTTGAAACGAAATTAGGATACTCAGCGCTCAGCAGTTTTGATTGTAGGGCAAGAGTTCTAAGTCGTGCTTTTAGTATGGAGACCGATTCCACTGAAACCCAAGGCAGTCTTGAATCTGGTGAATCGTCAGGGGCGTCTGCATCCAGTTCTGAAGCTTGTGGTGCCATAAAGCCAACATGTGTTATTGTTCTTGGAATGGCTGGATCTGGGAAAACAAGCTTCGTTCAGGTGAGAGTAGGCCTACTGTCTATAATCTATAACATAATTAACATCATCATCATGGCTTTTTGTTGTCGTTATTGTTGGTTTAAAAATTCGCAGTGGCTATTTTTACGGCGAGCCGTAAAGATAGCTTCCCAGGCTATTTTTACGGCGTGCCGTAAAGATAGCCTTCCAGTGAGTCCCAGGCTATTTTTACGGCGATCCTCGAAAAGCGACCCTACTCCGCCTCTCATGTACGCGACATGCCTAAAACTGGAAGGCTATCTTTACAGCACGCCGTAAAAATAGATTTCTAGCTTGGGAGGCTATCTTTACGGCTCGCCGTAAAAATAGCCACTGCATTAAAAATTAGATCTAGTCTAGTATTAGACTCATATTCTCACCTTTTGCACCTGTCTTTACGCCCCTTCCATACTATCGTTTGGGCTGACTACATCTTCTGTAATTTACCGACCCAGAACTGGCAGTCTGAGGGCAATAATGAATTGAAGTGTATACAGACCCGGTAACCGGGAACAAAGTCACGAAGTATACAGACCCGGTAGAGGAACTCTTTTGTGATTACGGGAAATTTCAGCATCCAGACCCGGTAGAAATCGTGTGTGTGTGTGTGTGTGAGAGAGAGAGAGAGAGGGGGGGGGGGTTGCTAGCAAAATGTATGACATGCCCCAGTTGGCAGGAGGGAACAAGAAAAAGATAGAGATGGAAATAGATGGGGACAAAGAAAGACAGAGACAAACAAAGAAAAAGAGAAGGCGAGCGATACACAGAGGAGAGAGAAAGAGAGAGAGAGAGGGGGACTGCTCGATTGAAATTATGACATTGTAACTTGTTCTTTTCTTCAAATTGTGATTCCTCCAACTCCAAAAAGGAGGAAAAACGATCGTTCATCGAAAAGACATCTGCAATCTTCATTTAGATCTAGGTTAGCCGCGAAACTAGATCAAAGATTTATGTCTGTCTGCCTAGATCTAGATCTAGACCATAGATCTAGAAGAACCTAGATCTAGGTCTACCCTGAGCCAAGAGGGCGCTGAAACTCTCCGAAATCACAAGAGTTCCCCTACCGGGTCTGTATACTTTGTGACTTTGTTCCCGGTTACCGGGTCTGTATACACTCCCATAATGAATGCCATTTTAAGACTAATAGGACAGTGCACCTGAGACATCGTTTCAGGACTACTCAAACTAAACTGCAAGACAATTTCCAAGACTTTTACTTGTCAGCTGGCATATTGTTCATCGTAGACTGTGGGAATTCAAGATTGTCAAAGATGCCTACACATGCAGACTGCGTTTACAGCCAAAACGCTGTCAGGCTAGGATGAACTGGTCTCTGCTACACAACAATGCCGATGAACTTAAAAGAGTGGGACACTTTTGCCTTCTCAGATGATTCTCAATTCCAAGTTAAACGCCATGATGGGATTGCAAAAGTGTACAGGTGACCACCTGAGCACTGTCAGCTCATAACATTCTAATAGGACAATGCACCCACATATTGTGCACTCCCCTCGGAGTTAAATTCTTTGAAATCAAGAATAAAGTTGCTGTTATTTATAAATATGGCCTGCCGTTTCACCAGATTTTAACCCTATTGAGCATCTCTGTGGGACAGGATTAGCTGTGTTGCTCGTGATATGAATACGGTTCCCAGAACCACTTTAAAGTAAATTTGTATTCAACTCGATTTGCAAAATTTAATCCAGGTCATTTGTTTAATTTCAGGATAAACTTCCCCTCACATGGTCATTGATTGGTTTAGACATTAAGAAAAAAAGTTAAAGATCTCAGATTTAGACATTTTTCGCCAAGCTCCTTAGGGTACGTTACTGTGGTAAATTATATACCGTTGCTGTACTTTATTGGCCAACTCATTTTTTATTTATATAATGTCTTTTTAAAAAATTGGACAAGTGTAATTGTGATGATGGGGCTCTCAAATGTTAGTTACTCACACCATTTTATGCTTACTGTTCACATTTTGTCTGTTCAGAGGCTGACAGCTCATCTGCATATGAAAAAGAGCCTTCCATATGTGATTAACCTTGATCCAGCTGTCATTGAAGTTCCTTTTCCTGCTAACATTGGTAAGATGAGAACAAGTATGTGTGTATGTGACAGTATGTGTTTAATCAGCTGCCAAATAAGATTAGCATATATATAAGTCTCCCATTTTATTTAATATCATCATGAAGGAATCACTTTTTGTAGTTTGATCTCTGAAAGAATTATCAAAATCTTAACATCTACAGTGGAGTCCACTTATAATGCGTCCGAAAAAAAAGAGAAGTCTGTTATAAAGACACTATTCTAAAACCTCGCTTTTTTCCTCTTCTTTACCTTTGTAAATAAAATACTGCTATAGCGCAATCAGACAAACACGCGAGTCGGTTATAGCGGAATTTTGCTGCTGCTGTGCGCAGTGCATGGGCCAATTATACATGTAAAACCTCGCCAGTTGAGAAACTAGTTGCTGATCTAGCGAAATAAAGAATGGGAGAGCCCATGTGTGTCAACAATGACGGCCTGTGCAACTGAGTAGGGAGGGTGTGGCATGCGCAGACAAGCAGAACGCATTGCATGATAGGCCAGCGTAAGCCTAGTTTAGATTATCAAGGCCTACCATGCCTCTCACTTCTCCGATGCGGGGATGGAGAGGTCACAGCAATGTGATGGATGGAGTGAATGTGTGACGTGCACAAGCTGACGGAATGCACCACAGGGTGTGGTGGGGTGGGGGAAAACACAGCGAGTGAGTTAACCCAGAGCCCTTTCTTTCTGATAGCCAACGCAGAGCTGTCAGTCAACATCGCTAGATCTAGCGCTTGAGGTCATGTTGAAACAAAATCATCATCAGGGCAGATAGCGAAAGGAAATAAACAAAAAACCAAACTAATACATTAGGCCTACTTTACAGTTTCCCTTGAATTTATTACTGGATCCCTTATAGCGAGAATCCTGCTATAACGAACATTTTGCTCCAGTCCCCTCCTTCTCGTTATAATAGGATTCCACTAGTTTGATATTGTCAGATGAAGTTTACTTGCCTCATGACTGTTTATTTAAAGAGAAAACTAAAAAAGCCGAAGGAAATTCCGAAATTGGGCACATAAAACCCTAAAATTTTATATATATTTAGCCACTGAAGAGATGTTCAGTCTCTTATCAGGTAGGTATTAAAGTATATTTCTCCAACATTAATCGATAGATGAATAAGGGTAAAACTGAAAAGTAAACTTCAGCTTCCCATTTGGAGTTTACTTGACTTAGCACTTATGGGGTCTCCACTCTCCATGGAGCCACATTTAGGTCACCTTAACGTCTTGCATGAAAGACGCGTTTACTTTATTTTAAGAAGGGGGAATGTCAAAACTTTGTCTTACCCAACTTTGGTTTTTATGCTTATAAATTTAGTAAATTCGACATGGAACCGGTAGTTATGGTCACTGTTCCGTGACGCCCTTGCAGTTTTCTTATATTTTTAACCTGTCCATAGCAGTCCTTGTTCAGCGATGCCGCTGTCCATCATTTTCATGATAAGTTGGCCTCAAAATCTGCTCATATCAACAACTTGCTGCAAAAGTTTTCTGCTGACCCTTGATCAAACTGAATGTGTTCGTTCGATCAGTGCAAAGAAGCTTTTATGATTGATAACATAACAGTTTTGATGACAAGAAAATGGAAAGTTAAAAATTAAGATTTTAAACTGTTTGTTGACTTTGTCAAGTCTAGTAAGTAACTATTGCTCAAACCCCTGTCCGTAGCCGCCTCCAGTCTAAAAGTTTGTTTTTTTCTCTATGATCGTGAGTGAACGTGATGGACAAGTTCGACTGTAGCTTTATTGAAGATAGTTTGTTCATTTTTCACATTTTATCATTAAAAAAGATTAAAGTATTGTTTTCTCTTCATAGATATCCGAGACACAGTCAACTACAAAGAAGTGATGAAACAGTATCCTTTACAAAGTGTTCATACTTGAAACAATGTTCTGTTTTCATGAATTTCTTTTTTTATGAAAAGATTACATTAAGCTAGCTTCCTGAGCTCTATCCCTGCTGGGTTTTTTGGAAAGTGTCACTTGTGATTTTTAAAACTGTTTCTAATACTGTTATCGTATTAGATATATGGACAGGGTGGGAACACTATGACAGTATGTGATGTGAAAATCTCTATCTGTGCTTTGTTTGTATGTTTGTGTTGATTAATGATGTGTATTTTTGTATTTTATTTATAATTTTTTAGGGGTGTATTTATACATTGTCTGAAAAATTGTGTGGTGTATTCATGGGTCCATTTTGCTTTCAGTGCTGTATCTGACTCAATCAGATCATGCTGCTAGCAAACAAAGTATGAGTTTCATTTTACATAAAGATATCCAACATTTTTCAACTCAGTATATAGAGTTGCACTGAAGAGCTGTGCTATGAAAGGGGTTAAGATATTCCTTATCTAGACCAAAGTTACTCTCTTGGACCAAACGGAGGTATAGTCACTTCCTTGAATCTGTTTGCCACGCGGTTTGACCAGGTAAGATTTCAACATGTTCTAATTTCATAGTATCATATACTTGCTGTCTTATATTTATTAATAGTCGCTTAAGGCTGCACTCTACTTCTTCGCTCCAAAATCTACAATTAAGTTATTTTTACTTGTTTTTCTTATTTTCTCAGGGTATTTCATTCAAGGTTTAAATATATTCTGTGTTGGGAATCATTATCAGTTACATGACTGCAGAAGTGGCATATTAGAGTGAAACCAGGCTATTTAAAAGACCATTTACAACAGCTAAAAGCTCAAAAAGCATCCAAACTGTCTATGAACTAATTACATATAATATTAAATCTGCACGCAAATCTGAAGAAAATAACGCTAGCTTTATTTGTATTAACGATTTTATTACTTTTAGAAGATTTTCATATTAGCGAATGACAAAAATAGTCAAAATAGCAAAGTAAATGAAAATCATTAAATAACATTTATGTCAAAAATTAGAAAAAGCTAGTGTCATTTTATTTGTAATTGCATGGTGCCCTTACCCTTCAAATTACATGTCTCTATTTTGAATATTTTTTTTAGTTTTTAGCTTTTAAAGCCAAGAAATGAACATATTGAGACAAGGAGCAAAAACATCTCAAAATTGCTTTAATACATTGTATTGGCTCACAATGTCACAAACTTTATGGAGCTATGTATTTGAAATAGGTCTTTGGAAGTACTTCCATTCGATTTAGAACATAATTTTCAAGGGAAGTTCCTCAAAACTGAAAAAAACATTGTTTGGACCCAAACTGGGCTCTAAAAACCTGTGTTGCTTTAAGTTTTGGTGACTGTAAGGTCCTTTCATGACTCTATAAGATAGGATAATTTTTGTTCGTAAGGTAATTTTACTCTATTTTACTCAATTCCCTGATCCGCAACTGGTAGAGATTTATGTGGCAGAATATCATATGTGAATGGTAGTGATATGCACCTTGCTGGCTTCTGCAATGTGTAACTCCCGGGTGGGTCAAATATTTAATTAGAATGAACAGGGAACTCTCATGGTCTAGAGGTTCACCTTTCATTCAAAAGGTCCTGGGTTTGAAACCTCACAGGAATGAATAAACATTTTTATTCTCCAAAATGTTCTCTTCTTTCATCTCCTGTCTGCCCTGTGATCTTGCAGGGGAATGCAAAGAAGTAGAAGAAAAATGAACTGGCCGGCCAAGCAAGCAGATTAGCTTAGTACAGTCAAAGATAGTACATAACAAGATGGGCCACTTCTCTCTTTGAGCCAATTAAAAAAGTGTTCTCTAAATTTGGTGACGCCCTCTTCACAAAAGCGCACTACTTGCAAACAGTTACCCTACTTGAGTTTTAAAAATCAAAGTGAAACTAGCAAGTTTTGGGATAAATTTTGGAAGAACGCTTTTTTAAAATGGTTACGCTGACAAAAAACCTCTTCCAGAGGAAAGGGTGATGGTTTTCTTCGTTTAATTTGACTTTAGAATGAAAGGCGAGAGGTCATTAAAATTTTAAAAACACTAAAACTCCACACTGAACGTACCCGAACTGCTGATGAACAGCAGTCGATCTGCGCACGCAAGGAGGTGCTATTCCTATTCTTCTTCTAGAAAAACGAAAGAGAGCTTCAAAACAGACTGCAGCGCCATCTGAAGCAAAGAGCATACTTCCTGCGGACACTTTTTTGGCTGAGTGGCTCATCTAGTTATTTACTATCTTTGGTACAGTGTCCTGGCAATTTGACTAGCATTCTTCCTTGGAGCTCACCTTCTTTTTCACTAGTATGGCAATAACATTCTGAAATAGAAAAGGCTATTAATACTGCTCTTTCAAAGAAAGTGTATATATTCTTTTTTCTTTAAAATGTCAAACAGTCTTTTCTCTTCTGTTGACTTGTTCACTTCAGGGAATGTATGTTATAATGTGAATTTCTTTGTTTGATTATTTCGTAAAAAATGAAATTGTACAAGTTTATTACCCTTTGCTACACTTTAAATAGGATTATTTGTTTTCCTGGCCAGCAGCGCTAATGTGATAGTTTGGTAAGCAGCTTGTTTTGACCGTACCTGTCAAGATCAACCCAAACCATGTGGGATGTATGTCATCAGTCATACTTGATAGAATATCTTCATTATGTGGTACTCGAACTCATGTCTTTTGCCTGCAAGGCAAAGTATCTGATCATTGCTCCTCATAGAGATGTTGCAGAGGCATGTGTCAAGATAAATAGATTGTAGTTTTCCTGTGTAATTTGAAGTTTGTACAATAGATTTGAATGGCTTTAAGGTTTTTGTGTTTATTATAAATATTTAACTGATTCATTTCATTTCAGGTGATGGGCTTTATTGATGGCAGATCGAAAGAATGCAAGTACGTTTACTTGTCCCGATTATCATTAATTACCATATTTATGTTATAGGTGGTTTTGGCTCCCTTTGATAAATCTTCGGTCTTTTCTGTCAGTTTATTTTTTTCTGTCTGTCACACTTTTTTTCCTGCACCAAACTGGCATAATTTTGTCGATGTTCTTCTCTTTATTCTAACTAAAACCCATGTCATATAATACGTTGGCCCAGAATGAAATACTGCTTACTTTACTTTTCCGATCCAGCGACCATTTAGGTTCTAGCCCTTCGGTCTGTCGATATGGCAAAGAATTTACAGACCCAGAATAAAATCAAAATGGGGACTCATTCAGGTTGTGAAGCTGTTCTAATTATTTCTAACAGCATTGTATCTATGGACGAGATTTTGTAATACTGTGAGGAGGGGGGGGGGGTCCCTGTTAATTTTTATCACATCTTGAAATTATTCAAAATATTAAAAAATCAGTTGGTTTTATTTGTAATATGCTGATGCAGTATAACATGGATAGCTTGAATTCGTCGAGACCGGCCTCAGTAGTTCAAGGGATATCTTACAAAGATAGAGAAGAAAAAAACCCTAGGACCTCGGGGCACAGTTCAACGGATGTGTGGTTTCAAGTCTCCTGTGTTTGACCTATCCGTGTTATACCATATTTTGTATTTAATATGTAACTGGATGATAAGATGGTGCCTCTGGTAGGTCCTACTTTTTAAACAAGATCCCTTGGATGTTTCTTTCTCACGATATGGCATCCCAAAATGACCTTTATTGCATTGTGACGGTTTGTCTTTAACTCTCTCAAGCAATCTGGTATTATTTATGTCTGTACTTTCTCTAACCTCTTCCGTCTTATGTTTGTTGCATTTTTTTGTTGATTTTGTTACACAGTCTTTGTGACAAAGTTTTTTCTTTGGAATGTTCCTCAGGTACGTTGTCTTGGACACACCAGGACAGATTGAAGTGTTCACGTGGTCAGCCTCTGGGAGCATCATCACAGAAGCCTTGGTCAGTGAGCCAGTGTTCCCTGATCTCAGGGAAGGACAAAGGACATTTTAATATTGTCATTGATCCTAATCTGTTTATGTGATGTAAATTGATGAAAGCTTTTTACAATTCTCAGGATTTCTAGATTATACTTGTAGTTTGTTAGTTTTTTTGGCTCTTTTTGTTTGAATTTTGTTTTCTGTTAGTTTTTTTGGCTCTTTTTGTTTGAATTTTGTTTTCAAAAGTGGCACAGGCTGTGCTACAGGGGTATGTTACAGAAGGGTTGAGGAAAATGTAGAACCACATGGGATTCTTGATGGATGGTCAGGTTTTTAATTATCTTTGTACAGTTGCAGTCAGGAAAGTGTAAGTGAAAACCAAGTATCGGTTAAGCATGTGGTGTCATTGTGTTTTGTAGTGAATGTTTTAAATGTTGTGGGCTATATGATATGAAAACTCAAAGTAGAAGGTCAACGATTTTTTGTGTTTGATACGATGTGTCTACCGTCATTTGTTGCTTGGAATTTCCTTTCTAACTTAGAATATATATACAGCACCAAACTCTCTCCACTGGGTTGGAGGGGGCAGAGGGTTTTAGATGAGGCTGTTGCTAAAGGTCATAGATAGGTTTGTTTGCAAAAGGTTACAGATAGGCTTGTTCGAAAGGGTTATAGATTGGCTTGTTGCAAAGGGTTATAGATTGGCTCATCGCATGCAAGCAAGAGGAGCAACCCCAGCAACAGGGGAAAGTCACACATGAACATTTTGGTCATACGTTCATCGGATAAGACGCACCGACTTTTTCATAGCAAACAAATATAATCACCTTTGTTAATAGGGTTTTTTGACAACGCAGTTCAAAACAAAACAAATCAGTTATATTTAGTACACTGAGGGGAACGTCATGCTGGGTTTTCATTGTGAATATCCTCAAAAACCAATAGTAGGACTCACTGAGTTTGTTCCCTTGGTTTGCCCTCTCTGGCTTTTTTGGGTGTAATTTTGTATCTCATGGATAAGTTGCAGGGCAACTTTGAGGGTCTGTTGTATTCTATATGCTGTCATTCACAGGAATACATTCTGATGCCTATATGATAATTACTTTGGTGTGTGGTTCCTGCCTTCTTTTTCTTTCTGCCTTCTTTGTTCTTTTTTTCTCTGAAGCAAGTGCGTTGCCTTTAAAGTGACATTTTTGTGTCTAGGAGGGCATTGAACTTTTACGAAACAAAGAGAGATATATATAAACAAATAAACCTCATTGTTCATGGTATTTGATTTTCATACAAACTAGTTTGTTCACCCCATTATTCATATTTTTTAAAATGTCCATACTTAACTGTTTGTCAGCAATAAACGTAGTATGTCAATCTGGGATAGCATTCGGATTAAAAATTCATTAACATCTACTAGTTTGTCAATAGAAGTTGGATGTTGAATGAAATCTTGACTGTTTTTGGATTGTCTGCTCATTAGATTCCCTTAATGGCAACATATTTTATTTTTGATTCATCTTTGTCCTACAGGAAACCTCCTGTTTAATTACCATGTCACTGTTTTGCGTGTCCCCAGGCCTCATCTTTCCCAACTGTGGTGGTGTATGTGATGGACACACCACGGAGTTCGAACCCAGTGACCTTCATGTCAAACATGTTGTATGCCTGTAGCATCCTCTACAAGACTAAACTGCCTTTCATCATCGTCATGAACAAGGTATATCTTCTTCCCCCCCGCCAACCACACATACACCCACCCACCCCAGAGAGTCGCTAGTCAAGTGACTATGAACAACATATTTGATTAGAGTCAACAGAGTTTGGTTGAACCAGTTCAAGAAACTGCCACCCATTTTCTCACAGTGATTTATGAGGTCCTGCAGGAATCAAGAGGCATTACATGTGTGCCCCACATCATAGTAAATACTTTGTTACAAGAATGGTGAAGGTGCTTGATGTCAGTAGTTGACTTCTTTACCTAGGATGTTTTATCGCATGAGTGAGTTATAGTTAACACATTACACCCTAAGGGCCTGGACGGGAAGTCCATTCCTAGATCCTAAGCAAGGGGAAGAAACCCACCTCCTGTGAATACAAGCGTTTAAAAGACACATTTAAAAAATACTGAACAAATACCAAAAATCCGGAAAAAATAAAATTTAAACAGAATACTGAATGTAGTTTAAGGAAAAATATAACTTAATGTGTGCGCAAACTGTTGGAAATATTCTAACTTTAGTCCAATTGGGGTGTCCGACCCGTCACCTTCACTCTCAGCCTCGCGATTGGACCCTAGATCTAAATTCTAGATTTTCTACGTCTGATCAATCTGAATCGCCCGGAACTCTTGCTACAACGTTTTCATCAAAATATCAGCCATCTGATTTGTCATATGCTTGTTTTTGCTCAAATCCATCGTTATTTCCGTTGTCGAACTCAATTGCGTCGCTTTTCAACAAGTCGAGACGCTTTCGAAGTGTCGGTAAAGCGATCGCATTTCGATCAGCTCTAATACTAAAACTACTGGCCCGAAAAATTTCGTTTCGGTATCAAACGAAAGAAGAAACTTTTTTCAATAACTATGCAAATCAAAATCTCGGCCCCAGAGTATCGTCAAGGTGAGACTTCGTTTCTAAAGACGCTAGGTTGGCGCGGGCGAGTCAGGATGGAGCGCATAAGGAAATTCCCGGGCGAGTTAGGGTGTAATGTGTTTTAACATAGTCCCCTGAAATGCTCAGTGGACTTCCCAACTCCTTGGGCTTGTCTGTCCTTGACACCATTACGACCCACTGATGAACATGCAGCATTGTTACCTTTAAGGTGTTTACCACCTTCTCATTTTCATCATAGCCAGTTGCCAAGGCACTGGGTTTTTTTGTTTTTTTTAAGTCAGATGAAGAAAATAGGAAATACTGCCTTTCCAAAACTTGCAATATCCCACTCAGAGAAACTCAGAATTGGACAGCTATCATAGTGTTGAATAAACTTTTAGCTGCTTTGGGAAAATGGATGTGAAACGTCTATGAATTTATAAATTGAAAATATTTTAAAAATTCTTTCAGCTTTCGCATGTATAAGTGGACAAATCTAACAAATAAATCAAAACAAAGGAAGTCCAACGAAAGATTTCGTCTTTTTTTTCTCATCACCTATTCGCTTTCTTCTTTGGCGTACTGGGAGCATGTTGGAACCCTTGAAATTGTCAAAGAATTGGTGGGACTGATTTTCATACTTGTTTTCTGGATGAGTAGTTTGCTGTATGATTAAAGATCTATTATTGAAGCATGCACTCATGGTTGTTTGTCCGACCACCAGGAATAGTGACACTGTCTACTCAACTGGCATTATGCTTGGCTGTGATGTGTATCAGGGATTGGAATCCACAAAGGGGTATTCTCGAACTGGAGTTGTAATAATACAAGGCTTACCACCCTCATGGCAGGGTTTCATGCGAGATGCTCAAACTGTTGTCAGGTCACAAGTGTAGGATTACAAAGTTCTATTAGTCTGTTTTGAGTTATTAAGTCCATGGCACCAGAAACTGCTCTATCAAAATCGTAAGATTATTCAGAGTCAATATCAAGATATTCAAAGAATTGCATTTTAAAAAACTTGACGGATAGTGAAACTCATTTTTTACTTCAAATTTCACAAAACTAAGTACTGAGCAGATAGAATTATATCATTCTAGGGTAGCGCGGTTTTGCATCGTAAATGGCCATTCAGTGTTGAAAGAGTCATTAATCGTATTCCATATTTTTCCATGTATGAAACAAAATGTAGGAATTGTTTTTTAAAGTCTTTCTATAACATGAACTTTTAACTTTGAACTGACTTTTAAGTCTTAGTTTTGAAGTCAATAAATGAAAATAAAAATCAGGATATCAATTCACATCCCATGACCAGACGGACATCATCAGCCACAGTTTTGCCCAGGAGTGGATGTCCGACTTTGAAGCCTTTCAGGAAGCACTGGAGCATGAGACGTCCTACGTGTCCAACCTGACGCGGTCCATGAGTCTCGTTTTGGATGAATTCTACTCCAATATCAAAGTAAGACTTCAAAGTTTTTTTTGGGGGGGGGGGGTTAAATGGCCCTTACACAACCTGAGGAACATTCCCAGGACTTGAGTTGTCTTGAGTTTTCAAGGCTCTCATCCTGCTTGGTCGGGCCCTTTTGATGTATGCTTGGTTGAGCCGTTTTGGTCCTTTTGATGACAAAATTACAACTTTTGAGAAACCTTTTTCCTTTCCTTAGAAAGTTTTTTTTTTTCTCAATTAAGGGCACTAGTGGTTTGTCCTTTTTCTTTTCATTACTTCTGTGGTATTCGTCTATCTTACTTTTTATGTTCAGTAAATAGCTGTTAATGTGTCAGTGTGCATCTCTTTTCTCAAACAAGCACAGCCACAGATTTATTGTTTTCACAAAAGTTATATACCCCTTGTTGCGTTGCCACTTATCATCTCTTTGTGAGAAAATGTTGTATCACGAGTTACAATAGTTTGACCTCCTCCGGCTCTCCCTTGTGTTTCATCATACATTACGGTGGCTGTCTGGAATATTCCAAGTGGGCGGTTGGCGGGTGCTCTGGTGCGGTTTGCTCCTTCTTTCCTATCAAACATCTTTCGTCCTTATCTCCCCTTCTTTTTTATGTTTGTTACTTTCTTGTAACACCTCTAATCTTCTGGCTCTCATATGACCTTATGCAGTTGCAAGTGCCGTAAAACCACTAAAACTAACTGGAATGATCCGGGTATGGACAGGGACTCATTTTTTACTCCTCTGTGTTGTTCCAGAGTACTGGAGTATCTGCCGCCACGGGCGAGGGTCTCGACGATTTCCTGGCTCAACTGGATGTTGCCCGAGAAGAATACGAGAAGTGAGTGAAGTGTCATCATTGCTGTCATGAGGGGGAGGATTGTATTTTTGCTTAAGACACCTTGCCAGCATTCCTTATCCACCCCCCCCCCCCCCCCACTTTCTCTTTTTTTTCTCTCCTTCTCTCTCTCGCTCTCTCTCTCTCTCTCTCTCTCTCTCTCTCTCTCTCTCTCTCTCTCTCTCTCTACTCTCTCTATCTCCCTCCCTCCCTCCATCCCACCCCCTCCCCCCACTTCATGTATATTGTCCTATCTTCCTCTCAGTCCTTTTTTTTTTCCATATCTTTGATTCTGTAGAAAGACTGGCATTTATTTTGCTTAGCAATTTTTTAATGTGAACTCTCAGAACCTTCATTGTAAGATGGGTGGGAGGGACAAGACAGACTACCAGGAGATGACTTACAATTTTTTGTTACTACTCACAGTATTTAGATTGTGCATTGATTTTTCCAGTGTATTCAAAAGCAGAATCTGTAAAAACACATTTATCATCTCAAGCTGTTCAGGCTGCTATGTTTCATCAATCTGTTTTGGTCTCACTCCTACGTCACAACATTTGTCCTCTTTAATTTTGGATATTGGTATGAAAGTGTATTAGTGACTGCAAAATTGAATATAATAGCTGAAAAAGTAACTGCTATCACCAAGGTTTGACCTCTTTTTGTGTTAGCGTTACTTACTGAATTGCTGAAGCTTTTTGTGGCTAAGAATGTATTTTGAGATCTTGTGTTTGTTCTGCAGGGACTATCGGCCAATGTATGAGAAAATGAGAAGAGAGAAAGAAGAAAAAGAGGAAGCTGAGAAACAGGAGAGGAAGGACAACTTCAGGGCAGATCGCTCGTCAGATCAGTCAAAAAAAGGTATGTAGGATCTAACGAACAGAGAAAGTAATTTGGGGGAGGGGGGGGGGGAGAATCACTTATCATGATGGTTACCGATCAGCTTCTGTTAACATCAATGGGTTCTAATACAAACAGTATAGTTTTCAAGTGTCGTTTCATCAGTTTTTTTTACTTTACAAACCTCGAGGGCATGCCTCAACCCATTCCTTCTCGTTTACAACTTCCTGTGTTGTCTATCGAGATGGCTGCTGTCTGAGCTGTGCTCAGTAATTAGACCTGCATGTTTGCCGACAATCGTCTGAAATCCGACAATCGCGACCCGACCCGCGAACCGGCCGATGCTATCGCTAGGCCCGCCTGTATCAGTCAATGTGTGTAGTGCGAGGCCTGGCCGACTGCCAGCGACCCCTTTTTCTCCCGTCGGCACTTTCGTTTTCGTGCCGACCGCCGACGCGTGCACCGCTGACTGCCGACGTCGGCGTTTCCGACATAATTGTCGGAACCTAAGTAGAAATGCGAATACGAAAAAGGACGACAACCTAAATTATCTACTTTCAGTTTCGTGCTCGAGCGGCCATTTTTAATTTCGTTTGTTGACTAATTCAATTGTTTAGATCGTGTTGATTCATTCATCAAGTCCGACTCTCTTGTTCTAATAGAATCTAGATCTAGATCTAGATCTAGATTTATATAGATCATTATAGACCTCAATAGAGGATTCATATTCCAATTCTATTGTGTCAAACCCTATCATAGGTTGTGCTGTAATATTAATATTGGTAAAAATAAGCAATTCATCAGGTGCGTGAATTATTTATTTTTATTTAGATCTCTAGATCTAGAATCTAGATCTAGATCTAGACTCAGCTGAGTACCTCTGTTCGGGATCGGATGCGGATTTCGAGTTCAAGGCCTATTCCTATTCACTTGTTCTACTAGATCTAGATCTAGATTTATTTAGATTACTAGATCTAGATCTATATGGAGGATTCATATTCCAATTCTATTGTGTCATTGTATCAAACCCTATAGCAATGTAGATGTAAGCCATATATAGATCTAGAATCTAGATCTAGATTTTATGTGCTTATTGTTTGTTTTAGGGTGTGGTTTTTTAATTTAATTTTTTTTTTCATTTAGGACTTGTTTTGGCCTTTTTACATGAGGCCCGTTGCAGGTTCTTTTTGGGGTAGGGTTAGGGTTAGGTCTCTTTTTTATTGTGTTTTTTGGGGTGGTCGCTCGTTACTCGGATGTCCTTCCTTATGTTTGGGGGGGGGTTGCGCAAAATTTTCAGACAATCTGGTTGAGGCAGGTCTAAGTAATCTGCCCAGGTGAAAGGCAATGAATGTAGCACCGCTGCAAGTGTGTCTAAACATTATTGTTTGTTGATAAGATCTTAGTTAAATCTAGTGTTTTAATGGAGACTTATAAACAAATTGGAAAGACTATGGTATCTGCTGTGGCTTTTTTTGAAGAAGTGAGTCTAAGTCTCGCATCTCACTGTATTTGAGACATTAAGAGGCTGAACCTTCGATTTAATGTTAGTCCTCCGTAGAATCATAAATAGATTATATCATAACAAGACTTTATAATATTTTTTTTCAGGAAAGGGGGGGTGGCTGAAAATGATATAACAACTTTAAGAAACTTTTGAAAAGAAAATGCTTTTCAGTTATAAGTGAGACAATTTGTAGTTTTTTGGGGTACCTAGTGTGTTTATTCTACCGTTGATTCAACCAATAGCTTTTCCTCAAATTTGACGGGTTTTCTAACCAGAATGTCGTACCACTGAAATAATATCATGTGTGTATATAGATGAAGTAGAGTAGTAAGGTTATTGTGTGGAAGTCATCCCTGACCTCTGACTTTACTCCCACCCCCACCCCCCACAGACAGCCTCCTCTCCTCGGTCAGCTCCAAGGTTACCATCGCCCCCGGTGACGATGAGGACAGTGATGACGATTTCCTCGGGAGGGGTCGTGCTGTGGATTCAGGTCAGCACCTTTCACTTTCACTTCTCTGATTTTACACTTCTGTCTGTGTCAGGGACTGTTGTGTCAATTCCTTTCATCAAATTATTTTTATTCCCATGGATGAAATTAAGCTCATTATGGCATGCTCAAAACACACTATAGATACTTCAGCAATAAAACGCACAATATATACCCTGTGCACACTGTGGATTCAAGTTTGTAACATTCGTTTTGACTTGTTTGATTATCAGGAGTGATTAGATTAGTTTGCTTCATTTGGGAAAAAACATTTTTTTAAAGAGAAAGTTTTTAAAAATCTCTATGGGTAAATCTGATTGCAATGACATGTAGAAAATGTACTCGTACTTGAAATGATTCAGGGACAAAATGCATAAATAAAATGCCTATACGAACAGTAATATCAAATAGGACTTGACTCACTGTCTGTTGAGTATGTCTTTGATCTTGGTTTTTTTCCCCCCAACATCATATGTATTTGGTTTTTGTGTGGGTATTCTTCTCTCTGTAGCTCAGAATAAGTCTCTCTCTGTCTGTTTCCCTCTCCTTGTGTCTCTCTTTCAGTGTGTCTGCCTCTCTCAGTGTCTCTTTGTCTATTCTCTGTCTCGGTCTCTCTCTCTCTCTCTCTCTCTCTCTCTGTCTCTCTCTCTCTGTGTCTCTCTCTCTGTGTGTGTGTGTCTCTCTCTCTCTCTCTTCTACTCTCTCTATCTACTACTCTCTCACGTTCTCTCTCTCTTACTCTCTCTCGCCCTCTCCCTTCCCCCCTCTGTCTCCCATGCTCTTTATTTCTCTCTTTCTCTTCTTTTCTTCCCGGTATCATTCCTCCTTCACCTACCTCATTCCCTTAATTTTTTATCCATTCTCTCAGACGAGGACAAGGACCCAGAGGAGAAGTCATTCCAGCGCTACTTGGATGCTCGACGTCAACAGCTGGAAAAAAAAGTCCACATCTCACATCCGTCCCAGCCCCCACCTCCTGGTTCTTAACCTTTGTGTGGTGTGTGTGCGTGTGTATGTTTATTATATGTGTGGCATCATGGTGAAATGAGGCGCTCGTCAAAATAATGAAATTGAAGATACCGATATTTTTTTGCCGGTTATGCAGTTTTTAAAGAATTTTTGTTTTTTGGCTCGACACCATAGACCTATTATTATCCGAGACTGCGTATGGGCTACGCCAGCCCTCCCTTCCCAGCCAGCGCACTAGGGCGGACTGTAATGATGGAACAGTTGGGCAAAAATCACTCGCTACTGCCTGGGCGGCTGTCTAGATTAGCAGTGGCCTTTCATGGCCCTCACCAAGCTTTCATACTGTGTTCGTTTAGTTCCTTCTATCTAGGTGTAACTAACAGGGACCGGGGAATCTAATGTAATGGATGAAATTAATACAACAATTTTAATATGTGTGTGGGGAGCTGCAAAAACCATTCACAGGGGTCCAAATATGAAAATTGAGATTTCTACCTAATATAATTCTACAGCTTCCCCTGAGTATTTCGCTTTTTATTTGAGGGTTTTATCTATTATAGTTTCCGAGATATTGCAGTTTTTATCACGCAAGGTAGGAAAAATCCGAAAAGAGAAAAACGGCTTTAAAAGTTTGAGCAATGTTTTTGGCTGATATGAGCTCAACAAAAGGGACAAAACACAACATATACTAGTACAGTAACCACAACAACATACTCGTAGACAAAATGTAATAGGTTTTCTTACCTTTGTAGCTGGTGTTGATGTATTTATATCCACATTACTGATGTTTCATAGATTACTACGTGTTGGCTCGGCGGCCGCGTCCACGACCTCGACCTCGGATGGCTTTGCCTGGTCCTGCTACAGTTTTTGTCACTTTGGCTGGCACTTCATATTCACTGTCAGAGGAGTCACTGCCACTGTCTTCAGGTACTGCTGTTGGCTCTGGTGTTACAACATCCTGACAGTGAGGGGAAACGAACGGACGAATCTCTTTGAAGAGATATTGCTGGCGTTTGAGGCTGAGCCCAGGTGACGGTATTACTGGCGGCAGAACATCCGGCCCAGGGAGAGCTGCTTTCTGTAGGGCCTGGGCTGTTTCAGGGGCATTGCTGTGTTTTTTCACTTTTTATTCCTTTCACCTTACTGAAATACTTTGAAAGAAAAGTCGTCCAGTCATAGGTGGGAAGTTGAGATACTCCATTTTTTGTACCCACTAGAATGTCCTCGTTCATAGCAGCCGAAGCATCTACAACTTTGACTAGATCTTGCAAACAATCAACCTTTGTTACCTTTAATTTTCTTTTTATGAGGCCAAATCCACCGTCTGGGCTAAACTTTGTATGGCCCGCAATCAGAAAGCTAAGGCAAATATTCCTATTTCGACCGGTGCCACATCGCCACATGAGGTACCAAATCATAACAGAATTTTTGTTTTGTCTGGCACAATTGTCTGCATGCAAAAGAAGTTCTGTCTCACCTAGGCTGAAGTTTTCCAGATAGAAATGAAGATAAGACACAAGTGTTGGCACCTTTCCCAGTGTTGTGAGCCTCATCAACTAGAATGTTCACTTGTTTTCCCAGCGCCTCATTATTTATCCCAAAAAGGCCACACTTCGGGGGGGGGGTCTTGAAATAAATTGGCCCAGCTTGAAGAGGATCACTTGGAAAGTGAGTCTGCTGTGCAAAGTCAAAAGAAATGTGATTTTTTCCTTGAAAGGAACAGTATGGATGGGGTCCAGGTAGTCTGGCTGGCGGTAGTTGTGCCTTTACCATTTCACAGCTGTGTTGGTAAAATTACCGTTCATTCTGAACGATCTCCTGATGAGAGTTCAAATCGTCTATCAACCGTCTTTTCTCCTCATCAGACTTTCTGGCTGACAGCTGGATTTGCTGCATACCTCTCTGACAGGTCCAGCAGAGATCTGTTGCAGGAGGCATGGTCCTAATAAAAGGCACTAACTGTCTCCACAGCTTCCTGAAGATTGAGATGTGAACACAGTGGTTTCCTGCTTCCTCAGATGATGTTTTATACAATGAATGTACAGGAAGAAATCACGGCAAATACGGTGTCCATAGAGCAAGTAATCCGTCTGTGACGCTTTCCGTTCTGTTTGAACTGCCTTTCGTGATTTGCGGGTAGTAGAATCCAAATGAATGCCACACGAAATTTTTGACAACACAGCTATGTCAAGTTCTTTGTCCGTTAAGGCAATGTACTGGTGTCTTATGTCCTGGATTGTTTCTGCATCAAAGTTTGAGTAACACGGTGTTGACTTACAGGACCAGGGGTATGGGACAGGCCCTTTCGTTGACGTGGAAGGTGGGTCGATGTGCAAATTCGGTTGGTCCGGTGAAGGGGATGCTGGTATGGCTGACAGATGGGGTCTTTTGCGTTCAAGAGGCACGATCCTTTCTGACAGGCCTAGCTCAGTTGTCAGAACTTCACAGACCGAGTCATCTGGGGAAAAGCATTTACTTGTGTTAGCTCTAAGAACAACTTATTTTGCAGTTGCAGTAGGAATGTAGGACAATCTTAACCACTCAACCAGAGTAAAGTTTACTTTGACTTATTATACTGGAAAATTTGATCTAATCTACCCTTGTAGGTCAATGTATGATGAATTAAAATGACAAAGCTTAACATTTGAAGGAAAAGATAATGCCAAATGGTTTATAGTCCACAGCACAATCTCAACCACTCAACCGAAGTTAAGTTTACTTGACTTTATTATTACTGGCACTGGGAAAACTGATCTAATCTACACTTGTGGGCCAATGTATAAATTAAGATGACACAAGTTTAACATTTAAAGGAAAAGATCAAATCAAATGCTCTATAGATCTAGATCCAGAATGTAGTCAGCGTTTCTAATCAACAATTACAATACAAAAGGTGCACACGTTTAAGAAATTCAGGGGTCTGGGACACAAAAAAGTCTAAATCTAGATCTAGATTCAGCTTACTTTAGAATTTACCTACAAACTGAAGGTGGTCTAACAGAATCTATTACAGAACAGGAGGTCATCTTATATCTAAATCTATCTACATTTTGATATGTGGTCATGACTTATCATGATTATACAGTCAGGGTGAGAATGTAAACAAAGCATCATGTCGAAACAGAGAAAGACTG